GGAAAACTGAAAAAAAAAGAAAAAAAACTAACACACCCTAACAATGTTCAGAACAAAAACAATGATCTTTTAGAAATCTTTCCATGAAACCTCCAACAAACCCCAACCAAACTGACAAGATTCATAGAGAAACGATGCGGAAACTCGCAAAACTAGCAATACAAAAACATAGCAAACGCAATTTTGGAATTTCAAAAAACAGCAGGTTAGAGCTTTTCGAAATTCAAGAAAAATGTTTGTAAAATTTGAACCAACATCAGAAAACTTGATTAATCACCGACTTTTTTATGCTGGGAAATCTTGAAACCGAAAACCACAATCGGACCCGAGAGTCTTTCACATTTTTTGCACCATTTTTACTTTGGTAATAAGAGCGCAATTTACCTAACTTTTACACAGATGAATTGGAATGGAGCTCGAAAAGATATATACCTAAGCGCATTCATAAAAGAATGAATATATATGAAATCACTTGTATAGTTATTTGAGCAGTAAACAAGAAAACTCATCACGATCAATATAACTGAAAAGGACATCGTTCTTCTAACTTTAATAAGAACTAATGAAAAAAATGAAAACCAAAAAAAATTATCAAGGATATTTGGTTATAATGATAAATTGAACAAATATTTTCTTATGCTTTTCTTTTGGTAACGGGCGGCTGAACAGGTAAAATCTAAAATAATAAATGTAAGCACAGCTTATAAACCAAAAATAGAATAAAAAAGGATAGCCGGTCGGTTACTGATCAAGCAGCACAGGAGGTTGCGACCATAGTCTATATTACAACGCAATCATGAAAAAAAAATGAAAAAGGTTGAAAACCAGGAGAACTTAAAATTTCGTATGTCTCGATGAAGGACACAAAAGGCTTGACTAAAGCTGAAAGTATGCATCTGGTATTTTTTTGAATTTGTTAGACTGATGTGGACGAAATGCGTAATTTCAAAAATTGTGCTTAGCCCAAAACCTTAGTTGTTTCTCTACTAAAATAAGTTTCCAAAAACATAAGTTCTTTTACAAAACATAAGGAGTAGCCGCTTTTACAGGGAAAAAAATTGCGCAAACGCTTCCTTCGATAGAACTTTTTATCTCAGATTTGATAGGGCACTTTTCAAGAAAATTCAATAAGTTACTAAAAAAAGTCAAAGTTCAAAAACATGATTTTCTAAAAATCGTAACTTTTTTCTGCTACAAACAGGTATTGGTCGGTAAAAAAAGAAGGTTCCTAAAATTGGTTTTCTCGATTGAACACTTAACCTGAGAATAGGCACGGCTTTTCCGAGGACGATAACTTTCTGTGAAGCCGTTATTGCAAGGAAACTTCTCACTGTTATCTCAATTGAACCCACAAATTCAGGTTTGCTATGCTAGTTTCGGGAAACGTCAAAAAGATTCAAAAAACGGTGATGTGGACGAAATGCGTATTTTCAAAAATTGGGCTCAGCCCAAAACCTTGGTTGTTTCTCTACTAAAATAAGTTAGAGGAGTGCAAACTTTTGAGAATTTGGAATTTTTCCAAAGACAACAGTTCTTTTACAAAAATTAAATAGTAGCCGCTTCTGCAGGGAAAATTTGCGCAAACTCTTCCTTCGATAGAACTTTTCATCTCAGATTTGATAGGGCACTTTTTAAGAAAATTCAATAAGTTACTTAAAAAAAGTCAAAGTTCAAAAAAATGATTTTCTCAAAATCGTTGCTTTTTTCTGCTACAAACCGGTTATGGCCGGTAAAGAAGAGAAGATTCCAAAAATCGGTTTTTTTGATTAACACTTAACCTGAAAATAGGCACGGTAATTTTCGAGTTAAGTCAAAACACAGTTAATTCGATTGAACCAAAAAAAAACAGATTTGCGAGAGCAGTTGGAGAGACAAGTCAATAATTTTCGAAAAGGGTGAAAAAAAATAAACTTTTGATTTTCCCAAGGGCAATCATTTTTTGTGTCAAAAAATGTGGGCTACGTCGCATTTGCAAAAGAGCTTCATACAACCCGTTCTTCTGATTGAACCCAAAATCTCAGAAATGGGAAGTTATTTTTTGTAAAATTCGAAAAATTTATAATAAAAAAACGCTCAAAAAGTCAAAAAATTGACTTTTCCGAGCACGATAACTTTCCGTGTAGCCGTTACTGCAGGGAAGCTTCTCACTATTATCTCAATTGAGCCCACAAATTCAGGTTTGCTATGTTACTATTCGGGAAACGTCAAAAAGATTCAAAAAACAGTGATGTGGACGAAATGCGTAATTTCAAAAATTCGGCTCAGCCCAAAACCTTCCCTGTTTCTCTACTAAAATAAGTTAGTGTGCAAATTTTTGAGAATTTGGAATTTTTCCGAAGACAACAGTTCTTTTACAAAAATTAAGAAGTAGCCGCTTCTGCCGGGAAAATTTGCGCACACGCTTCCTTCGATAGAACTTTTCATCTCAGATTTGATCGGGCACTTTTGAGAAAATTCAATAAGTTACTAAAAAAATGAGTCAAAGTTCAAAAACATGATTTTCTCAAAATCGTAACTTTTTTCTGCTACAAACAGGTTATGGCCGGTAAAGAAGAGAAGATTCCTAAAATAGGTTTTCTTGATTGAACACTTAACCTGAGAATAGGCACGGTAATTTTCGAGTTAAGTCAAAACACAGTTATTTCGATTAAACCAAAAAAAAACAGGTTTGCGAGAGCAGTTGGAGAGACAAATCAATAAGTTTCAAAAACGGTTAAAAAAATTAAACTTTTGATTTTCCCAAGGGCAACCATTTTTGGTGTCAAAAAAAGTGGGTTAAGTCGCGTATGCAAAAGAGCTTCATACAACCCGTTCTTTTGATTGAACCCAAAATCTCAGATATGGTAGGTTATTTTTTTGTAAAATTCGAAAAACTTAAAATAAAAAAGCCCTCAAAAAGTCAAAAAATTGACTTTTCCGAGGACGATAATTTTCTGTGTAGCCGTTATTGCAGGGAAGCTTCTCACTATTATCTCAATTGAACCCCCAAATTCAGGTTTGCTATATTACTTTTCGGGAAACGTTAAAAAGATTCAAAATCGGTCAAACAAATTCACTATTTTTCCTGATGCGCCATAATTTATGTTTAAAAGAGTTTGGGTGTAGCCAGCCACAGAGGGGAACTTTTCAAATCTGTTGTACTTAATGAAACAAAATCTCAGATTTGGTTGGTTAGTTTTTGAGAAAACCAAAGAAACATCAAAAATACCGGTAAAATATTCCCCCCACAGACATTTTCGAAGGCTTTAGACAAAGGGGTTAAAGCAAAAAGAGACCAGGTGAGTATGCAGGCACACAAGGGTGCAGGCGGTTTAAATATATGGATACCTCTTTTTACAAATTTCAAAGCGTCTAAAAATGAAAAACCCAATCCTATACTTTTTCATAATTCCTGTTTTTATCAAACAGAAATTCCAGGCAAACATGCCAAATAAGATAATTGAAATTCAAATTAATAACTAACATATCTTACGAAGCGGAAACAAGGCCGACAATCTTTGAGCAGACACCAGTTGAGCCGAAAAAAAACTGATTCTGTAAAAATTTTTTTCCAAGTTTAAAGTCCCCCAGGATGATCAAAATTGCCTATAGGATCAGTACTAATTGAACTTAAACTATACATTTTTTAACAAAAAAATAGTGTAAAATTTCAATTGGTCGGAACAAAAAGTTATTGGTGGCAAACTTCGACAATATAATCCAGCGAAAGGCGAAAGTAACCGACAGCCTTGCAAAAACATTAAGCTAAAGAAAAACTCGGGAAAATTTTAATTGAAGTGAGCAAGCAAGCATCTATTTGAACAACTTGCATAATCAATTACGTCCCATCGAAATTCGGGCTTCAAAACTAAGCAACAAAAGATTCTTCTTAAAATAGTCCCATTCCGTAAATTAGTCATATTCCGTCCATTTAGTCTCATTGCCGGTTAATGTACAGGTTTACGGAAAGTTCAGACCACAGTTGAACTTCGCAAAAATCAATCACGAAAAAAAACCTTTACTCTTTGAATCTCATCGGTGCAAGGTTAGAACAGTTGGTAAATTTGAACACTCTGATTCGACTGATAAAAACAGGTTCCTATCAAGATTTAAGCTCAGTTCAGTAGACGGGGTTACGTGATGTAACACAATATTCTGCCCGACACACCATCCAATATAATTTCAAAATATCTTTGATGCAGTCGGGTGTTTCGTGCATAAAAAAAAACTTAAACACACCGGAATAAAGTTACTCCCCTTTTAAAATGGTCGGAACACTTAAATTGAGAGGTAGAGTAAGAAACACACCCAAATACAAAACTCCTCCCCATGTTCCGAATGGTCGAAACAATTAAATTGACAGTTAAATTTAGTCTTAAATTTAAATTGAGTTAAATTTAGTCACGCCCTTTTTGAAATTTTTAATAATCTGAACAAAACTTTCAAGTCCCCCTGAAACTACCCTGTAGTAACTAGTACCCACCCAGTAGTTAAAATTGAACTTTCACGAAATTGAGCATGTCAGCTGATTGAGCAAGTGATTCAACTGATTTTGTTGAATTAGTTGTTAACCCGAAAAAAAGTCTACATTCCGATTTGATAACGCTAGCTAATTGCAAGCGTGAAAATCCATTTCCGAAACAAGAATTTGATCATTTTTTTGTGACCTTTACACTTTCGCAGTTCGATAGTGGTGTTTGCTTTCCTTTCAACAAAGGAAATGAACTGAGCTTAACAAGAAATCTAAAGTCAAACCACGAAAATAAATTTGAGACTGAGCTAATTCTTGAAAAAAAAATGGTCACGACCTAGATAAGAGTCTGAACTACGTTCATTAAAAGTCTAGTTCCCGAATATAAAACGCTTGCTATCGCAAATGCTAGCATTTGAAAGCGAACCAAGCTAAAAGCTACCAGGCATTTCTTTGACGTATTATATTAGATATCTACTTGGAAATGAGACAGTCTTAACCTTTTTTCACTTAAAATGTCCCACATGCAAAATTGTAGAAATAAACTTACAGCCACTCGTCTGATAAGCTGTGTTAACATTGCTCCTGCCGAAGATATTGTTGGAATTCTGGTTTGAATATCTGAGTTGGTCATCCTGTTGTTGCGATGCACCACCTGCCGCACTCGCTGAAGATGTCGGCACCGTGGAACCCGTAGATGAAATGATTTTGCTACTATACGCAGCATTATTGGGTTGGGATGCTGCTGCGGCAGAAGAAGCAAAGTAACTGTTACTTTTACTACTATCAACTGAATGTTTCGTTGGCGTCGTGTACAAATTAGTGTTTGCTGTTGCTTGATGCGACTTCTGATCGGCTGCTGTGTTCGAGTCTGTATGAGACACTTGCTGTGGCGGCTGTTGTGATTGTTGATGTTGCAGTTTGTAAAATACTGACTGCTCCTGCTGAGTTAGCTGATGTCTTTGCCCGTACTTCGATTGCTCGTTTGTGACACCTGTAATTAAAAAGAAAGTTTTCCAAACCTATTTAAAAAATCTCGCCAATTTCTTAAATATATAATAGAGACAGACAAATAGAAGGATTGGGACGGCAGAAATGCGTTTTTGTCAAATTTTTAACCGACATTTGAAATATTTAAAGCCTCATTTAATTTCAAAAAGAAGAGGGAACTGCGAAATTCGTTGCTGAGGGTTTTACCGCGTATACCAAAGTTATGGTGGTGAAAATAATGATAAGACGTAGACTCTATACAATTTTCAGCTACTTTCATAATTTTTCTGTTTGTGAGAAATTAGGTTTAAAAAATAGTAAACATCACTTAGATAAGTTTGGTCATGATGTGCTAGATAGTTACATCAATGATAATGAGTTGGTTAATAATGTCTTCGGATGATTATGAATAACATAGCCAACAGACAGTAGCAAGTCAATAAAAAATTACTGCCTTGTTCATCTTTCAAACTTTCAAGTAAAATAGATGGCCTTAAAGCTCTTCGAATTTCTAGAATGATTACTTGTGAGTGATTGACACTTTCTTTGACAAAATTAAAAAAAAAATTAAAAATTAAATTTTTTATTTCGCTGGGAAACCTAAAAATCAAATTTCAGTTTGCCTTCCTTTTGACAAAACAAATGAATATAATTTTTTTTAAAAAATCCAAGGTCAAATCGCGAAAAAACAAACATGAGCGATAAAAATTTCAAGACTTTTCCTGGAGAAAAAATCAAAAATTATAACGACCTATATAAGATTCTGAAAAAAAAAATTTCAAGACTTTTCCTGGAAAAAAAACGAACATTTATAACGACCTATATAAGATTCTGAAATTCGTTCATCGACTCTTCAAAAGTTAAGGACGGTCTTTTTTTCATAAAAGGTGTCTTTCGATGCTCAAAAATGTGGAACTTACCACCTGTTCACAGTTGGGCCTTAATTGAGCGCCCAAAAGTCATTGTGATTATTCTAGAGTGCTCCAAGTCTCTCAAGTATAATGAGTACTTCGAGACGCCATCGCAGACCGTGGCCGTCTCTAATACCATTGACAAAAAATTTCTTTAAAAAAACAATTTCAAACATAAGTATTTTGCCAAGTTTGTTTTGTAATCTTTTTGCTTTGATTATATTATCTGAAATTGATGTTTATAATGATGTTTAGAGGCGTAAAATCATCAAGGCCCGTTGATGCTCCTAGGTGGGCTGTAATCTTTGATTTTGTTCTATGAGTTTTTACAGATTGATTTAACTTTGTAATGCCTGCTGCAAGATAAAAACAGAGGCGAAGCGAAACTTAGCATCACTTGCGATATTCCACAAAAGCATAAAACAACATCAGTTTGAAAGAAATGTTGAAGAAACTAGGTCTACCAAAACTTGAATTTTCATGTGTGTCGATAGAAAATCAATAAAATCAAACATTCCAGACACGCAAAACAAAAATAAAGCCCTATGATTACCAGCAAAAAAAAAGACAATCAAAAAAGGTTAAAAAATTACAAAAGACAAAAATTTCTGTAACAAAATTACCTGCACCAGTAAAAATTTTACAAAGAGCTTTCAAAATGGTAAAAAGAAAATGAACCTTTCTAAGAGACCTAAGCCGATAAAAAATTAGCAGACACAAAAGGCTATAACATTCGAAAGAGATACCGACTGGAATCGAGCCTCTGCGATTTGCGGTCTCAAGCATGGGTGTTACCACTACATCACACCAAATGCACAAAAAATTCTAATTTTATAAATTCCTTGAATTTATAAAATATTCTAATAAACAGCTTGAAAAACTAGCACAAAATAGGCAAAACTTCTCATAATTCAATTAATTCCCTAAAATCGGAATACAATAACTGTTTTTTAATTTGAGTTAAAAATGCCCACATTTTAGGCAAATGTGGTGCTGCTGCATATAAACCGACAAACAGAAGTTCGACAAAAAACTTCGCGCTTTCTTGCTGGATTCTTGCCGGATTCAGTTCCTTGCCGGATTCGAACCATTGACCTTTGTCTTTATAACATGGTGAGTTAGCTCTTCGGCACATGTGTCTCACTTTTGATTTCACATGAACCCAAGGTAAAATGATTCAAGTGATTCTGTTACAGTAGCTTTTAATCCGGAAAAAAGAGTCTATATTCCGGTTTGATAAGGCTTGCTAATCACAAGCTTAATTAGCAACGGAACGAAAGCTACCAAAAGGAAAAAAGGAAACAAAGCTGACATGTATGAGCACGCACAAGTTGAGCTTAAAAAACTATTCGAACAAATCTTCAAAAAATTAAGTCCCCTGAAGCTACATTGAACAGGTGCCCTTGAAACTATCAAAAAAGTCCATATTCTGGTTTGAAAACGCTTGCTAATCGCAAGCTTAATTAGCAACGGAAAAACATAGCGAATTGAAGTTGGAAAAGAGTAATGAACGCAAGCAAACATTGATTTTGAAAAAATCTCAATTTTCGAATTTCAAAGAAAAAAGAATACCTTTTCAGCTCTTTGAATTTCTAGAACGATTCATTATTGGCGGCTTTTTGATAGCATTAACCCAACTTGAGAAAACTGGATCAACGGGTAAAGTTTTAATTCCGCTGGAAATCTAAAAATTATATTCGAATTTCGGAACTAGAAATTGTTCGCGTTTTTTCTCGCAATTTCCACGTCGTAATTGGAGGGTGCTATTTAGGTTACTTTCAGTATATGCATTTCAATTGAATTCAAAAATTGCATACATACCTAAGTGCATTCATAAATGCATTAATATATATGAATGCACATATGTAGTTATTAGAGTTTTATGTACATTTTAAGACTTTTCCTGAAAAAGAAACAAAAAAAAATCAGCAAGACTTATATAAGAGTCTTCACTACTTTCTTTACTATTAAAAATACGAAGATGATACAAAGCTGACATCTATGAGCAAACACAAGTTGAGCCGAAATAAACTATTAGGGACTATTAGAAAAATCTTCAAAAAACTAGTTCCCCCTGAAGCTACATAGAACAACACTTGCACTTGCAACTACAATCAAAGCTGCTTACAGCACCAGCAAAATCCGTGGTGTGGTGAACAGGCGACAAAACTTGAGCAAACAAACAAAGTCCGACAATTCAAATTTTACTCGAAAAAAATTTCATTTGCATACATGCTTAAAAAAAACAAGGTCTGACCAGGACTCGTGCCCCTGACCATAGCACTCAGAGGCGACGGCGTCACCTCTAGGCCAAGTATGAGCTAACCTGTAAGTTGTTAAGCTTCAATAATAAAGCAAGCATGATTTGTAAAAGTTGTTGACGAGGAAAAGTCTAGTTCTTGATAGGCAGTCAAAATACCAACTTCCTGCTTATTGCCAGTAATTGTAGCACACTCTCGAAAAAAATCCTGGCGAAACTGTCTTAGTTAATTTCAAGAGGGCATTTATGTGAAGTTTGCTGAGCATGATCTGACATTGTACGTTAGTACACACGGCAAAAAAGTATTACTAACCACTCGAAGCAGGCGCATAAGCCGATGAGAGTCGCGAGGCTCCATTGGCCGCCTGGGAAGAGATCGAACCTGCAGGGGCACCTTTGGCTGATATGCTTAAACTCTCACTCCTGTTTGAAACTCCACCGCCCTGTGTACTGCTGCCATAATGTTGTAACTCACTACCGAGCGATGTTTGATGCTTGGATGCCACATAAGCAACATCTCCACCCATCTGAGAAGAATATCTGCCGGACGCGTAGTAATCTAAATTATTCTGACCAGGTAGATGTACACCACCTTTGCCCGAATTCAGTCCCTGCGACGGTAAGTTAGTAAACTGAGTCCTCTTATGCATGTAGTTTGGATCGATCTCGCCAAAGTTGACCGACGTTTTGATCGTGAACTGAGCAACTGGTGAAGGTAACTCGACGGGTGCCGATGGCATGTTAGTCGAGTGCTGTTTCTTGTTGTAGGTGCTCTGTTGAAGTGAGGACGGAGGCTGGCCGAACTCCAATTTTTCAGAATCCAGTGTTTCGTTGAAACCAGGAGGCACATCTGGTCCATCCGTCGAAATTGTTTCCGTTGCTTTGCTTGATAAATTGCTCTATAACACAAAAACAATAAGTTACATCTCGGAAAAAAACAACGATACGTTTATCTCCGTAAGCTTTTTAAGATTTTGAAACATTCAGAACAGTGGTGATATATAAAATCTTGGAAGCCCCGGTTAGATCGCTCTAAGTTCGTAGGTTGTCCGATAGCTATTGCGTAAACGACTCGATAAACTACACAAAAATCTAAAAATATTGACAGCAATGCCCACTGCCGACAGTTAAAACAGATTAAAAAATTGCAATATTCAACTGTTTTTTGCCCGGATGCGATCACTGTTAAAACGATTAACTGTTTTTTACCCGGATGCGATCACTGTTAAAACTATTACTAAGTTAAAAAAATTGTCTCCTGTTGAATCAAAAAGGTTGCTGGTGTAGAAATAGGCTTGAGTAATTATGCTTTAAGGAATAGAAACGGTTTGTAATAAAAACGATACAGGGGAAAAATAATTTTCAAGACTTCTGAAAAAAAAGCAAAAAAAAACACCAGAACCTATATAAGAGACTTCACTAAGTTCATCGACTCTTAGAAATATTCAATTTCTTACTGGTCTGAAAACGTTGTTTACAGACAAAAAATCTTGTTCCCGATTATAAGACAGTTGCTCTCGCATTATAAGAAGAATGGTTTTCAATCGTTTCTCTTCCGTGTAATATTTTGGATTCTTGAAAATCGCAACTACGAGTACTTCTAAAATTAAAACAAAGGTGAAGCAGAGCTTCGCACCACTTGCGATACAAACACACACATGCACAAAAAAAACATAAGAAATCGAAAACATAGCCAACTGACAGTTGGAAAAAAGTAATGAACACAGACTTGTTACTTCAAAAACCTTCAACTTTTGAACTTTGAAGAAAAAAAAAGATGGCCTTAATGCTCTTTGAATTTGTAGAACAATTTCTGATGCACACTTAAATAAAATTAACCCAATTTGAGAAAGCTGGATCAATACGTAAAACTTTAATTTCGCTGGGAAATCTGATAATTAATTTCCGTTTTCGACATCAGAAGTCGACCACGTTTTTCGTGACCTTTACACTTTTGCTGTTCGACAGTGGAATCTGCCTTCCTTTTAACAATGGAAATGCACTGAACTAAGGGTACGTGCTTGATATTTATCAATCTATCATACTGATGCGGGACAAAATGCGTTAATTCAAAATTGGATTTTGCCCATAATCTCAATTGACTCTTTACTAAAACATTGCGAAAAAATTTGAGATATTTGAAGGTATTTACAGAAAAAAAAGTCTAGTTACCTTTTACAAGAAACATGATTCAGCAAGTGTAAAAAATGACTCAACTTTTTGGCTAGTAATTTAAATTTGTTCCTTTTATTCAAGTATCACTTTGATTCAGGAAAACTTCTATATCATTGACACATTTTTTATAAGTTTCGGTTTGATATCTCAATAATGAAAAACTGTCAAAAACGATTTCGTTTTCTTCCAATCAATATCAAGTTAAACTATTAAATCAATTTCAATCCATTTTGAGGGGCCTTAATGGAAATCAACAGCAAAAGAAACGTGAAAGCATTCAACTATAAAATATAGCCAACCAGCAGTTTAAAAAATGGAAAAACGAAAGTGATTAAAGTTGATTGAAAATTTTTCAACAATTTGCAACTTTCGAAGAGCAAAAAAAAGATCATTTAGATACAATTGGATCTGATCAATAAGTAATTTGTTTTACAGCATTGATCTTTCAGAAAACTATGGTCCCTCTTTGAAATAACAAATCATTCAAGTTTTTCGTGACCTTTGGTTGTTCGATGAGAGTTTGCCTTACTTTTAACAAAGGAAATGAACTAAACTTGAAAATCATAAATCAGTCCGCAAAAAACCAAATTTGAGCGTGAACAAATTTGAACAGCTGAAAAAATATCAAGACCTAAATAAGTGAAAACCAGTTCGTTTCTTTACATTTGAAATGCGACTACTTGGGTTCAAGTGATTATGAGGAGTAGAATAAGAAATAAGTCCACACTAGGACACATATGAGAGATTTAAATAAGTTAACATTAAAAAATCCTTGGAGAATACATTGAGCTTTCTACTTTCTAGTAATGCAGTCTCAAACGTAATTCAAAAATATGCCCCATTTTAAAACTTTTCACTCAAATAAAAAGTAGTGATAAATAACAAAAGATAGCCATCAGAGATTTGACATAGCGGCGAAGCGGAGCGTCGCATCACTTGTGATTCGACAACATTGCTAGAAGACAGGAGAGAAAGCCACTGAGTCCAAATAAAACGGAAAAACTTTCGAAGAAACCACAACTAAAATATTTTTCGATCGATGTTGTTTTTGCTGAAAACACGTCCAGAAACAATCGGCGCGTTAAATGAAAACTATTAAAACAATTTTCGAGCAAAAAAAATATTGTCATGAAAAATTTTAAACCATAAATTCTATTCTGATAACTTCAATGTTCTGTGCGCTCCGGAGGAAAGCATACAAACTATGGTTCCCTCGAACGACCCAAAATTAGGTTAGCAAGCCGATACAATATAAACTGAAATCATTTCAGTCGAAAAAATTTAAGGCAAATTAATTCATAATAAAATGGAAATAATACGAAGTCAAGTCAGGTAGAAAAACAAATAAAACATAAAAACAAATACAATGAAAACTGCATACAGCAAAAAAATTAACGATTTGGCAACTAAGCTGACAAAACATAGGCAGGCAAATAATACGCCGACAATTTTTTGAAACGGAATATTTCCCGTTTAAAAAAACAACAGGTCCTGGTCAGATTCGAAATCAGGACATTTACCGTCCCAGATGTATTCGTTACCTCCAGACTAAGTGTATCGGAGACGCTTGGAAATTTGAATTCATTATGAACCAAAATACTTAGTGAGTCTGTGATACAAGTTGTTAGCTCGAAAACAGGTCTAAATTCCGATTTGATATCGCTCCCTAATCGCGAGCTTTAAAATCTTTCAAATTTCCAAGAAACGAATGGGAAGGTCTTAAAGCTCTTTGAAACTCAAAACCAAGTAATGGTTGACATTTTTTGTTTAAAATTAAACCAAATTGAGAAAAAAAAGTTAAAAAATTTTTACCACCACATGTAAAACAAAAAATAAAAGTGTGGCAACAACATTCTTTGCGATCAATTCATCACCTAAAACAGCTGAAACAAATTTTTACTGGCACCTGTGCACGTCATTCCAATTGTTTGTGTGAAAAATAGCTAACGCCCATCTCGCTATCCCCCTATGCCCTATGCTTGGAAAAGCAAATTGAACAGAGGCGAAGCTGCACTTCGCAAGCAAACTCCAAAAAGAAGCTTGAAAAGGGTCTAAAAATTAACAGCAAGAAAACGAATATAATAATGAGTTTTGAAAAATAGATGGCATCTAAAGGTAATCAAAATTAATCCTCCCCATCCAAGCCTTGTAGCTGGCTGCCCTACACAACTGTACCATTGGAACTAACAGAAACCAAAAACTAGTCACTGGTTATTAAGAGAATACAAACAATTTAAAAGCCAATACTATGAAAACGTTTATACAGAAATAACTCTGTGGAAAAAAAACTTGATAAAATATCAAAAACAATTTTGAGCGACTTAACTTTTGAATTTCATTGTATAGCCCACCTGATTACAGAAAAAACGCGTATTACCATTTTTTATCCTTATACCGATGCAAAACAGGTTCAATAAACCGACAAATCAAGAGCCGCAATTATTTCGGCTGAATAAAACTTCTAAGCGAAAACTAAATTCCAAAAAAAAACGGAAGCTATCAAATTTTTACAGCATTTACAAGCAATTTAAAAAATCCCACTTGAACCTAGGCAATATGAGTTGAATAAGCCAATATAATATAAGCTAATTCCAATTAACCGAAAAAAAAATAAACACCTTTGAAAATAGTTGGTAAATTTACTAACTACAGAACAACTTCCAATTATTAAAAAAAACAGTTTGAATAAAAAAGAAGCAATGAAAAAACCTGCTTTAAAAGCGTTCACGTAAACAAATGCTTTTTTCAGTTATAAAAAAAACGGAAAACGAGCCGACAAATTAGGACGAAAAACACAAATCCGAAAAATTCAACACTTCAATAAAAATATTTGACAAAATAATTTTAACATGATCTCAAAAGTAGTTTTAATTGAATGTGAGCGTGTTAGCTTGTATAAAAAAAAATTACATGCAATTGGCGAACTATATGCAATATAAGAAATACGTGCAGTTAAATATATAAGACAAGTGATTCAACTGATTTTGTTAAACTAGTTGTTCACCCGAAAAAAAATCTATATTCCGATTTGATAACGCTTGCTAATCGAAAGCATAAAAATATTAACATCGCAGGTCTAACAGCAGCATATTTGATCTCCATGAATAAACATAGCCAACAGATAATTGGAACGCAGTCAAGGAAAGTCAGAAAACAAAAAAAGACTTACTTTTTTTGAATAACTTAACTTTCGAATTCCGAAGTTAAAATTATTTGATCTTTACGGTCTTCGAAATTCAAAACACTTTATGAAAGACTATTTTCGATATAACTAACCTAATTTAGGAAAACTGGATTACTAGGTAAAATTTTTATTTTGTTGCGTGATCTGTTAATTAAATTCCAATTTCGAAATTAGAAGTCCTACATTTTCCGTGATCTTTACATTTTTGCTTTTCGTAAGTGGAGTTTGTCTTCATTTTACAGAGGCGAAGTTTCGCTTCGCAAACAGTAGCAAGAACACGACAAAAAGCAGCTCTATAAAAAGCAATAATAAAGAAATAAGCCTCAAATTTGTTTATAACATTCGGCTACGCCTTGGATTCGATCTCCGACCGATTGCGACCAAGAGATTAAGAGTATCACACACTAACCACTGAGTTCCGGACGCTTAATTGATCGCAAACACTAGCCACAAAAAAGCAGAAAACATGCTATGAAATTCCCAATGCTACAGATCGTTATAGCATAAGTGGCACCAAATAATGAGCACTTTTATTTGCAGAAAATTGAACAAAAAAGTACATTTTTTCATTTAAAAAAACTTTGGTTTGCTTTTTTCTCATTTTCTGAATTTCTTCGGTTAACTTATATTTCGGTGGTTAGAACCTTCTGCAAAGCAATCGAATACCTAGCTGGATTATGTAAATTTTCACTAGGATTCGCTGAATGCCTTCATCACTATTGCAAAGGAGGATGAGATATTTATTAGCGCAACTTATTCTAACCTCGTCAAATCCATTTTCTTTACCTGTGAATTTGGATTGCCAATAGACATGCTGGCAAACTGCGAAGAGGCGGCGACAATGTCTTCAGTCTTTGCAGACACATTATCAAATTGACCTGTTGTGTTGGCTCCTTGGTTGAACAGCTTCAGAAGCAGGTTCTCAGATTGCCTAAACGATCTTACGAATTTTTTCATATCATTCAGGTTTTTAATTTAAATCGAAACGAAAAACGCATATGCAAATCCAGAATAAATCAAACTAATATGTCGTTATATCACACTACGTTTCGGCAGGATAATTATAGTCAAGTGTGTTGCAATTACCCATTATTGGCTAGAGAACTGTTAACATTCTGATCAAAACCAGAGACGCCGTACTTCTCTGTAGACTGAATCATCGCATTCAAATCTCCATTCGTCAGATTCGCTGTTGTGTTTGAAGACAAGTTAGCACCTGGCACTGCAGCAAACTCTGCACTTGAATTCGAATTTCCATCCGCAAAGAACGGAGGTTGCATTGAGGTCTGCTGACTCGCCTCAAGTACTGAAACCGGGTCTGGAACATCATTGATTTTGGTGTTCTTGAACTCGCGACCTCTCCAGTCACCGTCACTTTTCACGTCCCACTTTTCCTCCGCTGGCCAGAAGTTATCCATAGGTGTCGGCAATTGATCTAAATTCGGATATCTGTTGCTGTGTTCGTGATTTCGGTCGCGATTGTTGTATCTGTCCCTGCCGCCTGGTCCACCGCCACTACGTCCTCCCCGTCCAAACCTGTTTCCTCCGCGACCACCCCGAGATGATCTGTCGAAATTGCGAGTTCTGTCGTCAAATTGTCTGCTTCCGCCGTCACTGGTTACCGCTTTAGCATCAAAGGTGCTGAAACACAAGGTTTATAATTGTTATATTAACAATTCTTCTGGTTTACGCTGAACTAGAAAATTGTGCAAGCCGAAGAGCGGCGTGCGATCAAAAGTAGACATGTCATCAGCCCATCAGAATCCAGATTAAAAAACAACCGCATTAGAAATAATTTTTCTCGATTCTGATTGGCATACGACGTGTCTATGTTATAACCTGTCTATGTTTTTGCTAAGTAGCCCCTTAGAACTAACCCCACAACAAACGGTTGACTGAACTGGTTGCTGTCATCGGCGTCCTCATTGGATTGAAAATCTGAGTTATCACCCTTATTGGTTTTGAAATCCCCTCTGTTAGTGCCACCTCTGCTGCGACCTATAAAAACACTAGTTTTGCAGGCAAACTAACTGAATAAATGCTAATCAACAGTTGTCATTAAGATGAGAAGTTTCATACAATCACAGTCAAGGAGAGCATGAAGACTCACCACGTCTTGATTGAAATCGGTCCCTCTGAGAAAAGTCTTGACCGGATTCAAAATTACTTGAGTCGCCTCCGTTCATCATTCTGGCCTCTGTTTCCTGCCAGTTGCCTGTTTGAATTTCCATTAATGGTTGCACAACCTGGGAATTTTGAGAATTTGATGGATCTGATGAGTTGTTCGTTTTGTTTCGGTTACTTCTGCCATCACTTCTTTCCTTTCGGTTGTTGCTCTGCCGATTTTGTGATCTTTCGGTCTTCAGTTTTCCCTCTTTTGCTCCATCTTTTTTGCCCGATTCCTTCAGATGTGAATCTCCAGGCGCTTCATCAGCTTCCTTTTTCTTCCGTCTAGACTGTTTCTGTTGAACTTTGGCGTCCTATAAAAATAAGTTTGAAAAAATGCATAATATTTCAAGCCAAAATGCATAATATTTCAAGCCGCAAATCCATGATATATTTAAGATGAATGATTACAAAATGAAATAATGAGTGCAAATCAAACAACGTCATTAAAATAGTGATTATGACTAGCAAAAAATGACTTTCTAACCGGGAGTTGTTTCATCAACTCATCCAGCGCAAGAGTGAGCTCAAAGTTATTGTCGTTGAGCGCAAACAGTGCGTCATCTTCGGACACATTTGTAATGCTGACAATCTGAGCCACAAGCTCAGACACCTCGCCTTCTTCCTAGAATAGATTGAACACCCTTTGTTAGTAATATCAATTACTAATAATTGTTAAAAATATTCCGATAATGAGTTTTATTAAAAATAGTGTTAACACAAAGGCGAAGCGGACCACTTGCGATACAATACAAGAAAGCCGCTGAGTCGAAAAAAAATTCGAAAATATCAACAAAAAAAAACGATTTATTAAATGCATAACATTAGTCTTGAAAAAAAACAGCCAAGACAATGAATGTGAAATTGGCATCGGAAGAAAAATTAATATGCCGTAGCAAAGCCAAATTACCTAAGCATAAGCCCTTCAAGCCAAAAAATATTTTCAAAAAGACTCAAATAAATTCCCCCTCAAAACACAAGCACACAAGGACTGTTTCCACTCATCAAACAATGCAATATGCAGCCCCTCAAGCCGCTATAATATAAACCAAAACCTATTAATTAACAAAAAAATTGAAAAAAAATAAGAAACCCAATTCTTGAACATAGCCAACGTAAGGTTGGAAAAGAGTAGAAGAACAAGGAAACCATAAAAAATGACTTGTTTTTGAGCATTTTTTAATTTTTAAATGCCACTGGGAATTAATACCAGAGCCAACAGACAGTTGGAAAAAAATCGATGAACTCATAACAAAAAAAAACATATATATATATTTTTTATTTTGAAGAAAAAATACATCACGTTGAAAATACATCATTCAAAATCTTTCATATTGAAACTGACCCAATGAGACACCCAGGTGAAAAAATTACAACCATTATAAAAACAAATTTCGAACAGAGCGGATATTTAAAATGCTAACATGCTCAAAATATAAATGATGCAGTATATCCAACAGAGGGGACCAGGATGCGAGTCCTGTAAACAAAATTTTCTCCAGGAAAAAAAGTCGAGTACCCAATTCCACTACCCTTGCTCTTTCCATGAGTAAAAAACATAGCCAGAAGAGTTGTAAATGAACGAAAGTAAAAAAAAAATACTGACCTGTTTTGTGAAAAATGTCAACTTTCGAATTTTAAAAAATAGATGCACTTGAAGCTCTTTCAATTTCCAGAACAATTTATGATTGGCACTTCATTGATAAAACTAACCCAATTTGCCAAAACTCAATCAATAAGCAGAATTTTATTTCGTTGAGAAATTTAGTGCAGAAAACATCCAATAAATTAAATTCCGTAAACACATCCAGAAAATTGGTTTTTAGATGGGATAACATTGTCATTGATATGTACTCTATAACGGGAGCTGCCGTTTCTCTTTAAATCAATTCATATAAGAAACCAAAGCTTGCAGACAAAATTTATTTTGAAAGTAAAGCCAAGGTATAGTTTTAAGGTATAGGTCAAAAAGAGAAGCAAAAACCTAATGCGTTTTGAATAGTTCTCTACGAGAATTGGATTTCGTTCCTCGAAAATTTTAGTTGTCCAATTGACTGCCTTACTTAAATGTGCCATTGACGCTTGTAAAAAGCAAAGACAAGCGAAAAAGCGGCAAATAAAAGAAAGCTCCAAAAAGCAAAAAAAAATTGCATTTAATAATTTGGAATGTAACAAGCTAAAGGCAACCACACTAACCAAACTTTGCCTGCAAAACATTGAAAAATATAAAACCAAATTGTGAATAAATTATACTCTTGACACAACACAAACATACCATTACAAACTAGCAGACAGAAATTGAGACGAAATACAAAAAATTTTTAGAAACTGTCAAGAAAAAACTAGATCTATCAAAATCGTCGTATACTTTGAATTGAAAAAAAATTAATTTAAGAAAAAACAAATGGGAGAATGGAAAGTTACATTTACATCGAAACAAAGCGGTAACATTTTTGAGCAGACACCTGTAAAAAAATATTTTCATAAGAAAAGATAAAAAATCTTCAAAAAATTTAAAAAATACCTCTTCAAATGACTCACAGGCATAGGAAACTTGTTTCACTCATCCAACGATGCAATATGCTACCACTAAATTTATTAGGTATAAAGTGAAAAAAAAATTTTAAGCCAAGAAAACAAATCATACTAAACCGGAGTTGGTAAATTTAAAACAAAAACAAATATTGAATGAAACTGGTAATTGAAATGCAAAAGGCAGGATTCGAACCCAGTGCGGTTCGTTGTCTTTTGAAGCAAGTGTTACCTCTGTGTCATATGGTTGATTTTGAATTTATTATGACGCAAGATGAAACATCTGCAAAATTTTGTGATTAAAGTTGTATACGGGAAAAAATCAAACACTCGGTTGCAACTCTTGCCAAACGCGGGGGTAATGAAAATTCAACTTTCTCATTGTTATTGGCAATTAAAAAGAGTTGCAATTGACAGTAAAATTTGCCGTACATGATATAGAATTGAAAATTATTCGACATGCCTAATTGTCAAATTAAGATTACTCTACTTCTGCACTAAATCAAAAGTCCACACCTGCTGAGGCATGAACGTTAGGTTCCCGCTGGAAAATTGAACAACATGCAAATACTTGATGTGAACCTTTATTCAAATTTGGGCATCAAATTTTGAATGTTTTAAGGGCCTATGGGATAGTTAATTTTGGGTGCTATGGCCGTTGAGAACTAAATAAAATTCATCAAGATATGAAACCACTTGAAAATTAGTTTCTGAAATCAGTAATCAACATACCATTAGTGATGGTATTTTCAGATGATCAAGTTGTCGTCGAACTTCAAGCATCAATTATGTACATTGAAAACTGGACAGTATACAGAACAAAAGCTTCTAGAGAATCATAAAAAAAATCTGAAACAAACTCATTTCTACAATAAGGGTACATATTTTTATTCTCACTCATTACACTATAACTGTCACTATATCTGCAAATAGACTTTTTTTAACTAATTCAACGGCTATGTTGAATAGTAAGAATTTTTCTCCTTCTTAGGCAGCTAATTATATATACACCTTGCTGCAAACAACCATGCTAACAATGCTCTGATTATCATTGGCGATTACTCTCAATGACCAATTTATCGCAAAATGATTTTTCGGGTTGAAGAACAAACACTAATTACAATACACAGTAGTTGTTGCATTAGTAGAAACAGTGTAAAGTTATTATTAGGTTTAAAGTCAGATTATTTACTCATTTTTATATTTGCTTAAAACGAGTTAAATCATTGAACAAAATGGGATGAAATTATTTCATCATTAAAAACATCGAACTTCGAATGAAAAAAAGTTAAAAAGATTGTTTGAACACCCTTGAAATTTTTAGGCAATGTGAAATCTTACAACCCTATTAAAAACGAACCAAAAATTGCAAATACACATACGAGAGAACAGAATTCACTTAATCTTTTTGTATGAGTACGTATAGGCTTGGATTGCATTTCAGTAGTGTAGACCTGTAGTAAGATTGTAGAGAAGCAGTTGAACAATGGTCATCAAATACTATAAATATTATATGCTTAATTACTTGATTTATTCCAACATTAGCTTTCGGTAGCCTCAATTCTTGTGTAACATTCGCCCGGAACTACATATCGACGGAAAATAAGGCTAGGTTTTAAAACGACTGGCTAGCGTCTAATGTACCAGTCGGTCATATTTGGAAGTTTGACCTTGAGCAACGCAAGAAACATGATTTTGGGGTGAAATGAAATTAAACCAAAACTCCATTCTTGAGATAAAACTTGTTCGATTAAACTTATTGAACCAAACTTAATTTCCCAATTATTCTTAAATTGCTTACTAATTTAGTTACCTATAATTCTCGAGTGTGCTGGTATGTGAGTACCCAATTTAAGTTTCTTGGTTGTGTTTTATGATTGTTATGTTGAGGTAAGTAGAGTTTTAGGCAGGCATTTCGGGACCCGACATTTTTCAAACCCGAAACCCGATTACCCGATAAGCTAAAACCCGAACCCGAACCCGACGGTTTCTTCAAACCCGAACCCGACATTCATTTCAAACCCGAAACCCGGCCCGAAACCCGAAAAAGATCTCAAAACCCGATTACCCGACCCGATACCCGACATGCCCGACTTCCGCGCTTCTGTTTTCTTCTTGTCATTGAAACCGCACAGAAACTTGTCTTTCAACTTTGGATTTTTGGTTTCAAATATCCGCCACTCTTCCTTCATCGTACAATGCAATCGCGTTCAGAAATGAAATAGAAATAAAAATTAAAAAAGTAAAAAACCTCAAACAAAAGAAAAATTGGGAAAATTTTTGTCGAAACCGAAAACAGCAAACAAAAGTCGGGTTTTAGAAATCCGACATAATTGAATACCCGAACCCGAACCCGAAAATTTGTTGAACCCGAAACCCGACCCGAAACCCGAAATTTGTCTCAAAACCCGAAAACCCGACCCGATACCCGAACCCGAAATGCCTGGTTTTAGGTTGATCCATCTGAAATGGATCAAAGTTTCACTGTCTAATAAAACGTAACTGTACGGATTGTCCGACCCTGTTTTCAACGGCGTTCGGGTGTTTTAGGTATTTTGAGACCTAAGTTTGGGAACGTTCTTATTTTCTAGAGTGGTTTTTTGTTCCAAATTAGTTCCAACCACTTCCGAACTAAACTTAACCGGTTCTATCTATTGTAGTAGTGCAGTTAAAATGTAACACGCTAATTTAGCGCTTTTTTTGTTTCAAAAATTATCGATATCTCAAAAATCGCGACTTGTGGGGGGATCAAAATATTGCTATTTTGACCCTAAAAACCGGTCTGCTTTCTGTGTTTTTCACTGAAAAACGGTATAAGAGTATTAATATAGACTAAATTAGTAATAATATTAGTAATACTATACCCCTCCGGGTTTATTTAATATCCGAATTAAGGTGCTTAACTCGGATATTCGCAGTCCGGTGAAGGGTCACTACAGTGCAGCACTGTCGAGCCCCCCACAGATTACTATCTTACTTTTTGTACCAAAAGGGATACAAAACTTGTTAACGATACCCAACAGTCGATTGTTGTTGTGTTGTGGTTGAGCGCCTTCTTGTTGCTCCTTGTACTGCTTGCCGGATCAGTCTCCTCCCAAGACCCTTCCGAATTGAGCGCAAATCAGCTGACCCTTCCGGATTGAGCGCAATTTATCATTAACGTGCTTAAATGCTCAAATAACCCTACAGTACAAGCCTCACAAACGGGCTACAAAATTGATCGTAACGATCCTGACTGATATAAATGCCTGTAACAACAATATATCTATCAACAACAAACGGGAGGGTCGGATCACATCTTGTCTGGGAGAATGATTTCTACTGATTTTTTTTCTACTTTTTTACTGTTTTTGGGTTTTTGGGTTATTTTTTATGTTTTTCTGTTTTTCTTGGGTACTATACTACTTTTTGTTTGGTTTTATATATATCTTTAAGTGTTTTTGGTCACCAACCTCTCAGGGAACAACGGAATGGCCGATCCCCCCACCGTTCCTGGTTCGTGAATTTTCGGTCTTAACTAGGTTAAAAAGCTATTCACGGTAATCCGGAAGGCTTCCGGGTTCCGAACTACCCTTCCGCCCCGGCGGTTTAGGCCTATTAAGGGCGTTAATGTGAGCATCCGCTCGGCGCGGAGTGCTCGTTAACGGTTCTGCCGGTCATGATGTTAAAAAAGAATAACACCCAGGAGCGCCATAAAAACATGTATGTAACATTCGCCCGGAAGATACATATCGACGGAAAATAAAACTAAGTCCTAAGACGACTAGCTATCGTCTAAACAGAGCTTTATATGCTTTTCACCGTCTCTACCAAGCCAGTACTTTTCAGTGGTCTTTTCTAACATCGGGTCGACAAAAAACGTTACTGCTTTCGGCTTCGGTCAAAACACTCAAATTAACTTAATTACATGCAGAAATAGTGAGCTCATGGCTGGGCCTCAGTATCCCCAGACCACGAGGTCACTCCTAAAAACAGGGTTACTACTATTTACTATATTAGTATTGTTTTTGTTCAGTAGATAAAAATCATCATCTCCATCGAAGATGGATCAACCCTTTCCCCCAACTCCTAGCTTCTCATCCTTATCAAAATGAATCTAGTTGTTAATTAAATTCAACTCAGGACATGACAGGAAGCTAAAAGTTTATATAAAAGGATAAAAATCTCAGTCCCGAAACCCTTCCGGATTCTTGAATCCACTGAATCAAGCACGTTAAACTTGACTTTTCCGTAATCCGGAAGGCTGTCTTCCACCCTTCACCGTTGTTCGCAACGGCCTTGCAACTATTGTAGCGACACAATAGTTGCAACTCGGAACGTTCTCTGTCAACTCCTTGATTTGTTGTCGTTTCTTGACCAAAATTTCCGTTCTTCTCGCAATCCCTACTAATATTGTTCTGTTTCTTTTTAGCTCTCTTGCCAAAATGGACGTTTCTGACGTTTCTCCCAAATGTTACGTCATCACTTCAAAAATTTAAAATTTAGGAATTTCCGAATCCTTCAACCTTCACGTTTTGTTCAATCGTTCGAACAACGTCCTTAATCCATCAAAATCACTAACTCGGAAGGTTCACTGCTAAAAATTCGAAATCTGCAGAGATTGCATTTTGGCACATTCTGGTCGAATGTCACACACTCCCCGGTCAATGTCCTCATTGAATCACGCAATGCTCGTAAAATAGATACAGTGTCATCGAACAGAATTTATAAAATGCACGAAATTACTTTTATCTACGTCACATCGACTCACTGCAGAATATAATTGGCATCATACCACATCACTATAGCCTTCAAACTCTTTCATTAATCTGCACATTGAGGATATGACCTAAGATAAAACATATTTTCTGACTTCCAATGTCAATGTCCCGATTAAAACTTTTTCTCTTAGATTTAAAAGGTGTTGGTTTGCAGGACAGTCCTGCCAACCAACAAGCTAAAATTATCCTACTGTGCTCCTTCCCTTCGGAAATCTTGCTTGTTATTGTCCTGAATATTAAAACTAAGAAACTCTGTGGTTAGAAAGAACAATGAAACAATCTCCCTCTTCGAGAGATTACCCAAGCCTTCCACGTCACCACAAAGTGATCAGTTCTCCTAGCTGATTAAAAACAGTCATGTAGGCTGGAATACTTAAATATACTCCTTTACTTAAGCCTTTCTAAATAAATAGTAAGTGAGTGTCTCTAAAGCCACTCAACTAAAATCAAAATGCAAATTTATAAATGCAACAATTTCAAAACTCAACTAAATGTTTCAGTCTTCAATTACAACTTGGTTGCTTGGTTTCTCACTTGAGTTTTTTTTACACACATGAAACAATTCTGAGTTTTAACTTTTTCTTCACCACTCCTTTGTTTTCTTCTTTTTTCGTCGTTTAGAAGCTCTAAAACTTCTAAAGTCTTCTAATTTCATCTCTTTTTGCCTCTTGTTTTTCGGTCATTCGTCAATGTTCCATTTCTTCCTCCTGTGATACTGACTCTGCACTCTCAGTCTCCGTATCCTGCAACACGTCGTTAGCTATCCTGACGCTGCTGGAAGCCGTCCTCCAACACTTCTGCTCTTCTACCCTCTGTTTGCAACAAGGTAGGGGATCCACGTTAGATTCTCTGTTCCTGCAGAAGCTGTTGTGGAGACAAAACGTCACATTTCTCTCCAAATCTTCCTTTAACATCTCTGCCTTCTCCTTTCCACTACGTTCACTTGTCCTGGAAATTCTTTTCACAGCGGTGGTCACTGCATTCCGATGAGTCACGAGAGCTCGCTTGAAAGCTCCTGCTCCAATGTCCAACTGATATTCACTGTACACCCTGCCGTGCTTCGACATATGCTTTTTCGCATATTCGT